TATCAAATTATTCAAATCTTTATCATCTATGATAAAAATTTTCCAGCATTGATTCTTCGTAAAGAGATTAACGAAGCAATAAATGGATTTCTCTCTATTAAACGAGAAAGGAGGAAGAGAAGAGAATCAACACGTTTGAAAAAGGATCAAGCGGTGCATTATTGAGGATGGTTTGATAATTAATTAGAGTGGCAGCGGCGGCAATGTAAACAGACATTCAGTCGGCGAAGCGGTAGATTCAGTTCGGCCGACTGGAAGATTTCGGTGTATTCGGTTTGGTCTTTGGGGCAAACATAATCGACGTCGATGCGTTCTCCCTTGAGAATCGTCGACGTCGATGTCTCGACATAGTTGGCGACGAAATGGACGCGCGAATCTGTTCGAGAGAGAAGCTAAGTTTCTCTTGATCATCGCCAAAAGTTGTCGATTCTCCGCGATGAAATAATTGCACAGATGGTCGTTCGATCTCTCTATTTGCGTTATGATTGGTCATTTTCAAACATATATGTTCATATATATCTAATGCATACGCAATATTTAATATTTGATCACACTAGCAGAATAGATCGATTCTGTCGTTTGAAAATTTTCTGCCAACTATTTCTTTGCGACCAATTAATATTAATTTCCATTAGTACTATCAATATTTAAAAGTAAATATGCGTACGCAAATATCATTCACAAATGAATGTCGGAATGGAATTTCAAATGGAAGATCAAAAAATAGTTTAATAAAAATAGTATCATAATTGAAAATAATATTAATTAATTTTTCCTTTTCCTTTGTATTTCTTTATCTTTTATATTCAACTGTTTATATTATTTACCTATTATAATTTATCCATTTACATTTAATCTTTTAATTACTTACAATAAATAACGAAACAAATTTTATGAAATATATTTATCTTCAATAAATGGCTTTAAAATATTACAAGATTTTAGTAGTTAGAGGTTAACATTGTTCTATATTTAATAAATAATTTCATAGTTACCAATTCAAGTATAATATATATTTCGATTAATCGGTGAACATTCTCGATGAAGGAAGTCTTAGTTTATTAGTAATTCAAATCGCGTAGAATCTATTCGATTTATAGGAATACCTAGTAATATATTACACGTAAGTACACACGAAACGAAGCTGGACAGTTTATATCGTATATGGGTTGGTAAACCACAAGTAGATTCCCTTTCACTCTGTGGTTTTCTCGCGCATGCGGGAAAGCATGATATTTCACGGGAAGATATTTTACTTTAGAAGCGGAAGGATATACGATTTAGGATGTATAGATGGCGGAAGTGGCATGATATGTCTTCACGTTGCGGTCTCAATCATATACTTTGTTTAACTATACGTGTTCATTCAGTGTTTGAAAATATAAATCCATCATATATCTGCAATATTATATTAGGAAAAATTAGGAAAAATATGCGTATGAAATTTATGTATGAAATTCATTAAATTGTATAAAGTCTAATATGTTAACTTTTTTATTAGATATCTATTCATAGTGACAGTGAAAAAAAATAACAAAATGTACAAAATCTATAAAAACTAATAAAATTGTCAATAATCAATCACATTCTGTTATATTAAAATTACTTATTGATAATAGCTATTTTATGTTTTATGTTTCGTTGTTTATTGAATGTTATTAAAAGGTTAATAATTGTAAGTATATCAAATTTTACAAACAAATAATTATTACAGATATTTATTATTATTAAATTAAATTATTTATCTAATTTAATTTAATTTAATTTAATTAGATTTTATAAAAATTTTTTAACTTAATAAAATTCTAATGTAATCTTTCTTTAAATTATTGGATTCTATAAATGTTATAATAACGATTTCAAAATTTTAATCATCGTTCCTCTAATTCGTCGATTTTCGGTATCGAGCT